CCCCAAAACCCCAAAACCCCAAAACCCCAGTATGTGGTCTAGAGGTTGAAATAAGAGAAAATAATGGATAGTGTAATATATATCTCCTATTTTAGAATTTTTGAGGTGAGAAAATTGCAAATTGGAAATAATTAGTCTTTAGGAGGTTAAAATAGGAAAAATGGTGGTATCTCAACGGGATATACAGAGAAGGATGTAGTCTAATAGGTGGATTAGCATGAAGATAGAGGGATAGTTGAATTATAGAGCTTTGATTGAGAGTTGGAAGTTGTCTGTCAAGAGCATAATTATAGAGGTAGTTTGAAGGAGTTATTCGAAAAAAATTTTGTTGCTATGAAATAAAGATATGAAATTTCAGAGTGTCTAATTTAGCTTCTTTGCGAGTGGATATTTCCTAAAATTAACATTTTTGTACACTCATAAAACTCTAGACTCTCTCATTTTATCTATATTTTTTGACTTTTCGGAAAAATTATCATTCCAAGGCTTACATATAATATTTCATAAAATGACCATTTCCTATTTAGAGACATAAAAATAGCCCAATAATTATTGAAAAGGATCATTTCGATGATCTCTTTATAGATAAATCTATTATTTTCTCCAGAAAGTTGCTAATAAAGTTCTAGCCCTTTCTTCCTTAATTTGCAGACTTTTCTTCTTAAATAAGTTTTAGATTGATATTTATTTAGGTTCTAAACTATGTTAAAACGATAAATTTTTGGAATACATTCAGACTTTTTATGGGCTCGATTATGGGCTAGAGATGAATATGTAGCCAACTAAGAGCAAGTTCATAGCCACTGTCTGTCTTTTCAAGCTAAAGCAATGTCTAATCCTTTATATATCTCTCAATCTAGAGATCTTATGTCATAACTTTACTTTGCTTCAAATAAAATAGAGTTTAAATTTTCTGACTGTCTTAGAGACCAAGACAGCTCACTAATGGTGGAAATTCGGATATTCTGAAGGTTTGAGAGATTTCTATCAAACCCTCCCGCTCTGCGAGGGCAAGATTTCTTCCCTTATCATAAAGGATGGAAATACAAATAAAATATAAAGGTAAAACTTATATGCAAATGGATAGGAGTCAACAATCAATTCTTCTCTTAACAATAAAACTCTATCTATAAATAATTGTATTCTCTTTGATTGAAGACTGGATACATCACCTTTGAGATGACGAAAGATCTCTGCCAATGCTGATAGCTTAAACTAACCATTCCGATAAATTTTCATATTTTTATTTTACTTTTCCAAATCTATAAATTAAAAAAGTAATTACTTAAAAGCATTATAATCCATTGATTCTTATACATTAATTTCTCTTCTATTTCATATGGACTAAAAACCAGAACGAATCACTAACTTTTTACCTCAGGTTCGAAGTCTGCTGAAGCAACCTTTTCATTAAGGAGCCAAATTCTTAAATAATTTTCTGCTGACTTATTTCAGAGCGTTCACGAATCTCTGTAAAATTTGATAGGTGTTTTCGTGAGTTAGGTAACGTGAATGGTAAATTTAGGCATTTTTCATTTTTTTGTATGGGAAATTAGTTATAGATTGAGAATTTGTAATAATGTTATCTTATTAGTGACAGAGGTTTAGGCTATTGATGTTTGTAGCCAACATTTTTGTAGTTATGTTTTGGTTAACCGATGGAAAGTTAATAACAATCGATAATTTGATCGCGGGGGATTCTATAATATTCTAAATATGTTAAATATCAGAAATTCCCCCAAAATTTCTAAAACTCAAAAGAAATGGCAGATTACCAGATTAATCCTCTATCAATCTAATTAAACAGCACCACTACTATCTACCAGGTTTAGGGCTGAAATAAGTTCCAAACGGCAACTTCTGATGAACATTACCCCCAAATTACAGTCTATACTTTCGATCGTAGTATTCTACCAAAATCCATCTCCACTAATTTCTCTCATAACTATTTAATCTTTAATCAAAGTCTTGAACCACTAGTGTTATCACTAATCTTTCTGTAGCTTTTAAATTATTATTTCGAGATTTTTGATCAAGCTGATACAATATAGGGAATTTACCAGAAAATCAATTTTTTAATGAGAGGTTTCTATGTTAATTTATAGGTGGTTTTTTTAGGGAATTAATAGGTTTCGATTGTTTTTAAATGTATGGAAAGGGTAAAATATTTTGGGATTTTTTCGATGGTTTATGTAGCTTATAGTTCTCAGGATTTTGTATTGGAGAACACTGAGCCTTGGATCGTCTGATTTCTGAGAAATGTAGTAGCACAAAGGGATAAAGTTTTCAGAGTTGAGTGTTTTCTTAAATTTTTTTCCTTGAAAAGGATTGATCTCAGCTTTTAAAATCAGTGACTTCTTTCTGAATTGATAGCATTGATGGAATATTAGGTATACTTTTAATGCCGGTGGTTCCAACTGTATAAGGCTTAGATAATTTATTATTTAAATTATTTCTCTATAATAAACTAAATTTGGGATGAGGAGCTCTTGAGGGATAAATGAGGCGAGGAAAGTCTTTATTTTTGTACAAATATCTTCAATAGAAAGCATTTTATGATCCCTTTCATTGATATCCCTGTTTTAATCTCTTGTAAGTATTCTTAAAAAAAATCAATATCCTGATAGCAGTCTTATAAGCCACATCCTCCCTATAGCCAGAGGACTTCAAAGAAGCCGATGTAATATTATCCTTTTCTTCATTCACATCAAAACCTGAAATAAATAAGTTAAGCCTCTTTGTCTTATTAGTAATCATAGTCGCTTCAAACACTTTTTCAAAATTTGCAGGAGTTTCACTATCAGTACAAATAGAATGCATAAGAGAAGCCAGCTTTCCTTGAGATTCTTCAAGCCCAAGACTTTCTCCTCTGATGTCTGAAGCAGTTTCAATAGGGTCCACTAAACTATTCAGCTAAAAATGTTTAAGTATTTGAAACTTGAAACGGAAATTTTTAATATGCACTCAAAGATGCTGAATTCTGTTTCAAAGTGCAATAGAGAATCATAAACCCTATTTTATGCTAATTTTGAAGTTGATCAATTATAGCTAGCATCATAAAAATTAACAACAAGTTTTGTATCATATTTTGTGAATATCCTGAGTGGAGAAATGGTTTTATCCAAGAATTTATGAGAGGAAATAAAATTTACCTGTTTGGAGTTAATATCTGCTAATGATGCAAAGATATTTCCAGGATGTAGGTAGCTATAGGAGTTAAAAGCTCAAGTATAACTGTTTACTTTGTATTGATATCCATTTTACTTAGATCATTGATTTCAGTAAGAAGCGTTACAATTGCGTGGTTCATGACAATTTTAATTAAAATTTCAATACTATTACACCATCTCGGGGTTTTGGGGTTTTGGGGTTTTGGGGTTTTGGGG